GGGGGGGGGGTCAATTGTAATCTCGACCTGGAAGGCATACTTCTCAGGTAGACGAAAGTGGAAAGGTCCACGGCATATTAATAACTACTCGTAGCTGGGTACCCCGTTCGATGAACAGACTCAAAAGAATCGATCGTCAAGTCATTGTGGAACCAGTGCACTCTGTATGTGAACGGAAGTCTCACTTGTTTACAATGGTGTCTTAGAAGACGGACTTTCCAAAGATTAAATCTAAATGAAACTAATGAAAGACTGAAAGTTAAACTACACTGAATTCAGACTCCTTAATATAATTGAGCACGGTTTAAATGATTCTGAACCACCTTTGTTTTTTTGTGCTTTTAATTCGAAAGTTAAGTGGTTCGGAAGTTTTAAGCGACCAAAGTGAACTTTCACAAAGATATTTCGCACCTCCATCTCCAAAGGTCCATCAGTGAATAACACCTTCCATCGAACATAAGGTGGGGCGTGCTAACAAAAATATGAGTTACTTCTCGGATTTTAGTCTGATGGAAACAGATACTTCAAATATTCATAAGTCGAGTTAGTGAAACGATCAAAGGCAAGTTAAATGTGAAGAGAATGACATTCCTTTAGAATGTATGAATATGAACCCTCGTGTCGAATTTTGGCCGATATCTCCATTCATGAATTGTGACATCACGTAACTCATTTTGTCAGCACGCCTCAGACTCGCAAACGTAAGATCCACAGTTCGAATCCTATCTTTGCAAGACTGGACGCTGAAACCTTGACCAAGGCGCTGTAACAAAGTGTTTTACGGCACTTGCAACACAATAAGGTCATATGAGTACCGAAGACTAGAGGTGCTACAAGAGAGTAAAAAACATTTTAAAAAAGGAGGAGAGATAAGGACGATAAATGTTTGATGGGAAAGAAGGAGAAAACCACACCAGAGCACGGGCAAACCACCCGCACATGCGTTTCACAATCCAGCGTCATAATATGGGAGCTTAATTAACGAAAGACAATTAAGGGCGCACAGGAAACTATGCTGTATAAATGACAGCATACGGGGCCAAACAGGCAGTTAGTGTACGCCTCTCGCAGGAAAAGATGTCGATAAGGTGTACGATCAGGGCATTTAGGGAACTTCTTGTGGAGTCGTAAGTTTAGTTTTAGTAAGAGTTTTACGGCACTTGGAACACAATAAGGTCATATAAGTGCCGAAGACTAGAGGTGTTACAAGAGAGTAACAAACATAAAAAGAAGGAGAGATCAGAACGATAGATGTTTGATGGGAAAGAAAGAGCAAACCACGCCATAGCACCCGCCAACCTCACACAGTCGTCTTGAGCTATCAGTTGAAACGGATGCGAAACAATAAACTAGCACAAAACTAGCTCTATCGGTCTGAAACTCTCTCTTAGATTTGAGGGAATAAAACTCGGAGACAACATTTTAGAAATATCTTTTAAAAAATCGTACCTTAAGAAATGCCAAAAGTAAGTCTTTATTCACACTGTACTCTTATGCTCATACTTTGATACGCCTAAATATCGTCATCAATTATTGTGTTGTGGTAATATGAAAGTCTCAATACTATCCGTTAGCGTTAATCAGTAAAGATTGTATCATGAATACAATGTCAAGTTCATTCACTTGTAGTTAAGTGTGCCAGTTTCAAGCCCCTATCAACACTGTTAGGTCATTCACGTGTATTTTGTGTAACGACAGAGGTATTGCAAAGCGGTAAGAGATCAATCTGTATAATATTATACCGGAGTAGGGGGCTATGGAAATTATCTGCATCATCGTCATGATCATGATCATCATTCATCATGATCATCATGATCATCATGATCATCATCATCCTCTTCCTCCTCCTCCTCCTCCTCCTCCTCCTCCTCCTCCTCCTCATCCTCATCATCATCATCCTATTCCTCCTTCTCATCACCATTATCATCACTACCTTAATAAAAAGCACAACGAAATCTGTGAGAACAGGCTGCTGCTGCAGGCCACACAGGTAGCCACTCTTGGTAACAGCAGGTCAATGTACGTCGGAACTGTAAACTGCCTCCATAATGCCCTGTTTTGGATTCACTGACTGAGCTGACACATGCCTCATCATTGCGATGATGATACAGTGGGTAATTAGACCAATAGTACAGGCTAAAGAGTGTCAGTAAAGGGTGGTGAGGACTAATTGTAGGTTCTTAGTTGCGAAGGAAGCCACGCAGCGAGGTTTTTTTTTCTCCACAAACTTACTTTTGGTATTTGAAAAGTTGTTAATAAATTCCCATTTTCAGTTCTGATACACAACACAAGGATATTTCCATCGTTTGACCTTTTAATAAAAAAAAAAAGCTTTCATCCGAACTAGAGAGCAACAGACAGAGAGTAAGGGAGGGAGGGAGGGAGGAAGAGAGAGAGAGACAGAGAGAGAAAGAGAGTGGGAGAGAGAAAGTGAAGGGCAGAGAGAGAGAGAGAGAGAGAGAGAAAGAGAGAGAGAGAACGAGAGAGAGAGAGAGAGAGAGAGAGTGAAGGAGAGAGAGAGAGAGGGGGGGGGAGAGATTGAGAGA